TTGTTGCCAGTCTGATGTCTCTACGCTTTACTATTTTATCGAGACTGGACATTGCTCTCCTCCCAAGAAGTAAGCGTCTTCTGATTTCCTGGCCACAGTCTGCATCTGCAGTAATCTTTGCACCTAGAAATACAAAGTCTGTCACGGCCTCCACGGTTTCTCCCTCTATTTTCCAGTTGTCAATCATTCTTGTTGCCATAATCTTGGTTTTTTTGACGTTTAGCTGCAACCCGGCTTTTGCGCTTTCTTCTTTCACCTTGATTAGAAGGCTCCTCAGCTCCTCCTCGCTTTCGCCCATCAGAGTGGTGTCATCTGCATATCTGAGGTTGTTAATGTTTCTTCCAGCAATTTTCACCCCAGCTTTGCATTCATCCCAGATCCCCAGTAGCATTTTGGCCATCTTCCGACCTGGGAGTCCCATCTTCCAATGGCAGACCGACATATCTCTGGTTGTACTGGTCCATTTAGTTTTCTTGGCAAGGATACTGGAGTGGTTTGCCATTGCCTTCCCCAGGGATCACGCTTGGTCTGACCTCTCTGCCACAACCGTCCCGTCTTGGGTGTCCCTTCACGGTTTCGCTCATGACATCATTGAGGTGCGCAAGCTCCAGCGCCCCGACAAGGCGGTGATCCTTTGCTGGAGATTACTGTTATTACATTTCTCCAATTTTGCAGGTTCTGATTGGGGAGTAATAATAATAATAATAATAATAATAATAATAATAATAGAAACCTTTCCCTTGCAAAGCTAGACTACTACTACTACTACTAATACTCAGTGTATGGCAGACAGAATTACTTATTACTCCAATGTTGCATGTTCTGATTAGGGAGAAATAATAATAATAGAAATATTACCCTTGCAAAGCTGGACTACTACTAGTCATATTACCCAGTGTATGGTAGATATAATTACTTACTATTACTCCAATGTTGCATGTTCTGATTAGGGAGAAATAATAATAATAATAATATAGAAATATTACCCTTGCAAAGCTGAACTACTACTACTAGTCATACTACCCAGTGTATGGTAGACAGAATTACTTACTATTATTCCAATGTTGCATGTTCTGATTAGGGAGAAATAATAATAATAGAAATATTACCCTTGCAAAGCTGGACTACTACTAGTCATATTACCCAGTGTATGGTAGATATAATTACTTACTATTACTCCAATGTTGCATGTTCTGATTAGGGAGAAATAATAATAATAATATAGAAATATTACCCTTGCAAAGCTGGACTACTACTACTAGTCATAATACCCAGCGTATGGTAGACAGAATTACTTACTATTACTCCAATATTGCATGCTCTGATAATAATAATACTTTACTTGCCCCTTGCAAAGCTGTAGTAGTAGTAGTAGTAGTAATATAATAGTAATAATAATAATAATGCTCAGTGTAAATAATAATAAATGTAGAAATATTCTCCTTGCAAAGCTGTACTACTACTACTACTAATACTAAGAATAATACTTGGAGTATGGTAGATAGAATTACTTTTCTTCTAGAAGCATGCCTCTTGTAAAGCTAGAGTAGTAGTAGTAATATAATAATAATGCTCAGTGTATTGTAGAAATAAATACTTATTACTCCAATGTTGCATGTTCTGATTGTGGAGAAATAATAATAACAATAGTACTTTTCTTCCAGAAGCATATCCCTTGCAAAGCTGGAGTAGTAGTAATGTAATAACAATAATGCTCAGTGTATGGTAGAAATAAATATTTATTATTCCAATGTTGCATGTTCTGATTGGGGAGAAATAATAGTACTTTTCTTCCAGAAGCATGCCCCTTGCAAAGCTGGAGTAGTAGCAGTAATTAATAATAATAATAATAATAATAATAATAACAACAACAACAACAACAATGCTCAGTGTATGGTAGAAATAAATACGTATTACTCCAATGTTGCATGTTCTGATTGGGGAAAAATGATAATAACAACAATGGGTTGCTTTAAGTTTGTCAGGCTGTGTGGCCATGTTCTAGAAGCATTCTCTCCTGACGTTTCCCCCAGGGAGTAAGAAGCGACATCTTGAAAACTGCTAGGCCATTAAATGCTAAATAAGGTGGCCGATTGAAACATTAACACCTAGCTCCAACAGACAAGTGTTCTTTCTCCCACCCTGGAATATATAAACCCAATTTTCCTAGTTTCCAACAGACCTCACAACCTCTGAGGATGCCTGCCATATGTGCAGGCAAAATGTTAGGAGAGAATGCTTCTGGAACATGGCCATACAGCCTGAAAAACTTACAGCAACCCAGTGATTCCGTCCATGGTTGCCTTCAACAATACAATAACAAAAATAATCTTTCTTCCAGAAACATGCCCCTTACAAAGCTGGAGTAATATTAATGGTACTAGTAGTAACAGCAACAACCACAATAATCAGTGTATGGTAGAGATAATCACTTACTATTACTCCAATTTTGCATGTTCTGATTGGGGAGAAATAATAATGCTTTTGCAGAAACATGTCCCTTGCAAAGCTGTAGTAGTAACAACAGCAACAATAATATAATGCTCAGTATATGGTAGAAATAATCACTTATTACTCAAATTTTGCATGTTCTGATTGGGGGGAAATGATGATGATAATAATAACGACAATAATAATCTTTATTTGTATCTCGCCCTATCTCGCCAGTGGGAACTCAGGGCGGCTGACAACATATAACTACTATAATACAACCTACATATAAGCAAGACATACTATAAATTGAAAAATAACACATTAAACATAGACATCAAATTAACCACCAAGTTAGACAGCACACACTAAAATGACATTTAACTCACCTATTATATCACGACATAACGTTTTTTTTAAATTAATAAAGCCCATAATACTTTTCTTCCAGAAACATGCTCTTTGCAAAGCTGGAGTAGTATTAGTAATAGTAATAATACTGTTCAGTGTATGGTAGACAGAATCACTTATTACTCCAATTTCTGCATGTTCTGATTGGGGAGAAATTATAATAATAACAATACTTTTCTTGCAGAAACATGCTCCTTGCAAAGCTGGAGTAGTAGTAGTAGTAATAGCAGCAGCAACAACAACAACAACAAGATAGTAATGCTCTGTGTATGGTAGAAATAATAACTTATTAATCCAATTTTGCATTGGATTAATGCAAAATCTAATGGGGAGAAATGATAACACTTTTCTTCCAGAAACCGGGCCCTTGCAAAGATGGACTAGTAGTAGTAATAGTAGAATCATAGAATAATAGAAACCACATGGGCTATCTAGTCCAACTCCCTGACATTCAAGAAATGTAAAGGGCATTGTAATAATAATTACTCCAGATTTCCAAGGGGCGAGTTCTGAATGGGAGGAAATATAATGCTACTACTACTAGTAATAATAATAATCTCAATCAGAACATGCCCCTTGCAAAGCTGGAGTAGTAGTAGTAACAACAGCAGCAGCAGCAACAACAAGATAGTAATGCTCTGTGTATGGTAGAAATAATAACTTATTACTCCAATTTTGCATGTTCTCACTGGGAAGAAATGATAACAACTACACTTTTCTTCCAGAAAAAGGCCCTTGCAAAGATGGACTAGTAGTAATAATAGTAGAATCATAGAAGAATAGAAACCACATGGGCCATCTAGTCCAACTCCCTGACATTCAGGAAATGCAAAGGGCATTGTAATAATTATTCCAGATTTCCAAGGGACAAGTTCTGCTTGGGGAGAAATACAATGCTGCTACTACTACTACTACTACTAGTAATAATAATAATCTCAATCAGAACATGCCCCTTGCAAAGGTGGAGTAGGAATAATAATAATCTTCCCAACCAGAACATGCCCCTTGCAAATCTGAAGTAGGAATCATCACCACCACCATCATCATCTTCCCAACCAGAACATGCCCCTTGCAAATCTGGAGTAGGAATAATAATAATAATAATAATAATAATAATAATAATATAACAACATAACAACAGCAACTCCTCCAGATTTGCAAGGGCCATGTTCTGGTTGGGGAAGTAATCCTTCCAAGCAGAATGTGATCCTTGCAAAGCTGGAGCATTATTATTATTATTATTATCATTATTATTATTATTATTATACACTGAGCAGTATAATTACTTATTTTATGACTTACTATTATTACTATTACTCTCAGTTAACTGGAACACAATCAGCCTGAACTCTCAAGCAACCAGCAAAATAACCATCAATGAACTAATACTCCATTCACAAAGCTGTTTTTATAATAGAGTAAAACGGCTACTCTTGAGTCCCCCTCGGGGTGAGAAGAGCAGGGTATAAATATAGGAAATAAATAGGTAATAACATTGACGATGCAGTCATGCCGGCCACATGACCTTGGAGGTGTCTACGGACAACGCTGGCTCTTCGGCTTAGAAATGGAGATGAGCACCACACCCCAGAGTCAGACATGACTGGACTTAATGTCAGGGGACTACCTTTACCTTTTAACATTGACGATAAGTTTGGCTTTATTCATCTCGATAAATAATAAATTATATTTCAGTATTGATATCGAGTTAATACAGGGTTATAGTATGATATAGGGTAGAGTAATAGGCCTATTTTAAGAGTAACTCTTCCAAGTTTGTATGAAAATGTGACTATTTTCTGTGCTGGTCAATGACTGAAATAAATGATTTGAAGAGTAACTCTGAAGGAACTGAAAACTACCTTTATATGCCACCGACCAATTGCCATGGGTTTAGTGAGAGACTTATTATTATGCGTGATTCTGAGACTGTCTGAGCCTCCCTTCGACATCTTAGATTTTTTTCCTGGAGTTTTTTTTTTTGGGGGGGGGGGGGGGAAGGAAGAAAGCAACCAAGCACCTGAATGGGCCATTTCGGGTGTTTTTGCATGGTAGACAATAAAAGTGTAGAGCAGATCACCTGGGGTGGGTTTGAGCTCTGGCAAGATTGTGTGTCTGAGAGCAAAGCGGAAGGAATGGGGGGAGGGAGAGAAAGGAGGGTCTTGGTCTGATGAAAGATGTCCTTAGATGCCTCCTGGAGGTTTGGCCAAACGTGGGAAAGCAGCATCCCCTTCCACCCACATTTGCTCCTTTCCTATCAGCTTTTTTACGTCTTCTTTTCCCTTTCAAGAAAACGACTCCCAGCTTGAAACCAAAAGAGAAAAAAAAAGAAAAGGAAGGTGCTTCTAAGCAAGCCAGCTGCAGCTTGCTTTATTATTATTTTTTGGGAGTGGGGAAAAGAAGCAGAGAGTGCAAGGTGGGTATGGTGATGGTATATGTTTTCTTCCTCTACCTCCAGCCTTCTCACTCTTTCTTTTCTGGAGGAGGAGGAGGGGCCAGGAGGAAGAGGAGAAGAGACAGATGTTGAGGTCTTTTCATTTGGCCGATTTGGCTTGACAGGGGTGAAGCGATCGCTGGAAGGGCAAGGCGAGGGAGCAGGAGCTTGGGGTAGAAATGAGCACTGCGGGTTGCAAAATAACCGAAAAGGGGGAGGGAAGGGAGAAGGGCTTTTGCATGCTTCTTTCTTGTCTGGGGAGGGAGGGGGACAAGGCTTTTGTTCTGAAACCCACACACCCTTTTTGTTTGTTTTCTTTTTAAAAGGGGGGGGGGGAAGCTTGCGGTTTGCTTGCTCGAGAGTCCAGGCGCTGATAACCCAATGCCTGATTATGCAAGTTGATCGGCGGCTGTATTTATATATAGCCCTCTCTAGACAGACAACTCTACTCCATCCCCATCAACTCTAATCTGTAATAGCTACAGGGTGTCTGTTTCCCTCTCTGGGAATTGCTAATGGGGAGGCGGGTTTGTGAAAGAGCGATAAGGGGAAGATACCGAGAAACTTGCTTGCTTGTTAAATGGAGACGTGCAATAGAATAGTCTGAATATTCCTCTCCCCTGCCACCTCCGATCTGTGTCCGTTTCCAGGCTGGAAAGGATACTTTGATTTCCCAATTTGCTACTGCTGCTGTTGTCTAACCCTGGCTTCCTGTAATTCACTGCAGGCAGAACAAAGCTCTGTCACAACGGTGTTTCCTGGTTGTCGCCTCCTGCCTGCAAGTGGCTGAACGCTTTCCCCGGCTTGATATCATCATGCAGAAAAGGATGAAGGCGACGCAATGAGCGATTCAGGTAATGCCACCGAAAATATGTTTGGGATCTGTTGCTGGGTTGGTGCCGCTGTCTCTGGAGCGTTGCCATGCACAGAGATCTGGGGTTGCATCACCATTGATTTTGAAGGGAGCCAAAGCGGAGTCCGGCAGTTCATTAACACACAAACGCACACGCATTGGAGTCGGGACTGGTCTCTTACTCGCGTCAAGAGGAGGAAAATATTTAGCTCATTAGCTATTCAGGGCTAATGTATTTCAAAGCTTTTTTTAAGTTTATTTCCTCAACTGTGACGATAGCAGAAAGCAAAGATTAAAGCAACTTAAATTTCTCATCGTGGTCCCTCTGTCTTTGGCAACACATTCAAATATTTGGGTAAAATATATTCTGTCGAGTTAAAAATGTAAACGCAAGACGATAGTCATAGTGCTCTGTCCTAACAAGCAATCCACTGTAGTAATTCTGGTTGGAAACAATTCAATATTTCCTTGGAATAGGCTTGAAAAAACTATTAATGCAGTAAAGTTGCTGAGACTGGGGGCAGGGAATGCAAGGGCTGTGTGTGTGTTTATTTGTGTAGCATATGGCAAATTAAATACAGCAAAGGGAGCTAGGCTCTTCATTGTTTCTTAAACTGCCCAGTTCTTTGATCCCTGACTTTATTTTGTCACTGTCTCAGCAGATAGTGTAATCTGTTACCTATCTCTGCCTTTTTTCTCAAGGTTAGTGCTATGTTGGATATAGAAGTTTGTGAATTATTTCTTTGCCTTATCTAAAACCACATATATATCTACATGTTTCTTTTCATGCCTTCAAAGATTGATAAAACACAGGCAGGTCTTCTTTTTCCACCTTTGTTCTTGAGTTGAGGTCACAGGCCTTCCCTGAAGAGCTCCCAAATAATGTAGGATTATCACTAAATCTTTGGCTGATTTTCTTTAAGTACTGTTTTTTTGTTGTTCTGCTTTTGCATCCCTTAAATTTGTTTCTTTACTGAATGGGAGACTCTTTTCAACAGTTTTGCAAGGCTGTCCTTCTTAAGAAGGCAAGCTGGGCCTGGATCTATGCATAACAAATGGTGGCGATGGATGGTGCGGGAGGGGAGGGGGGGCTCCTGCAACCCAGCTTCCCCCACTTCTTCCATGCTCCCTTCCCACCTTGTGCCTTCATTTGCAATAAAATTAAAGAACTCCAGGGAGAGCTCAGCTAAGTGGATAATTCGTAACAGCTGCCGCTTTTCCAAGGTGACATTTCTACAGCTGTCAAGGAAAGCAGGAGAAGAGGAAACTTTGGGTGCCGTTCACGGAGCACTGCTCCTGAATAATCAGCTGTAAAATAGGTAGGGTTTGCAGGAGAGCTGTTTTTTGGTGGGTTATATGATTGAGGCCACCTTGGGAAAAGTATGGCGCCAATCTGCAATTAGTTGCCTTTGGAGAAATATGACTCTATGGCTTGGGAATAGATGTATTAAAGCAGCAGTAAACCACAACTTGGTGACTATTGACATTTATATGTAACTACTTACTGATAGGGGCCCCCTGATGGTGCAGTGGGTTAAACCGCTGAGTTGCTGAACTTGCTGACCGAAAGATTGGTGGTTCAAATCCAAGGAGTGGGTGAGCTCCTGCTGTTAGCCCCAGCTTCTGCCAGCCGAGGAGTTCAAAAACATGCAAATATAAGTAGATCAATAGGTAGCGCTTCTACGGGAAGATAATGGTGCTCCAGGCAGTCATGCTGGCCACATGACCTCATAGGTGTTTACGGACAATACCCGCTCTTTGGCTTAGAAATGGAGATGAGCACCATCCCCCAGAGTCAAGACATGACTAGACTTAATGTCAGGGGAAACCTTTACCTTTTTACTTGCTGATAATTTCAGTTGAATTTTGGAAAATTCTGATACTTTGTCTATTTTTCTATCCCCACTATTTACTGGTAAGTGCTCACATTTGGGTGACTAAATTAACATTCGTATATCTCTGATTTTGAAGAGAGTCACAAAATCTGTAGAAGATGCTTCACCTTAACCAAACTGGACATTCGTATAATTTAGGGAATATTTCCTGATTCTGGTAAAGGTAATGGGTAGTCTTTAGTTTGTGTATAAACCGCAAATCCAAAACCTGTTCTGTAATTCCCTGTCTTGTACATTGAAGCGATCCCCATTAACTTTAGTGGGTTTAGGATACATCACAATGAATAATGCAGCTGAAACTAACACAAATTTGGTTCTGGGTGAGAGCACACCTAGAAACCTGATGCATGAAGTTTCTGAGGAAAGGTGGGAAATAGATATGTTCAATGCATAGGGTTTTTAAAAAAATTGGTTTACTCTGAGCATAATGCTTAGTAGCAACTACTAAGTTGGGTTGCTGTTAGTTTTCCTGGCTATATGGCCATGTTCCAGAAGTATTCTCTCTTGATGCTTCACCCACATCTATGGCAGGCATCCTCAGAGGTTGACGGGTCTGTTGGAAACTAGGCAAGTGGGGTTTATATATGTGTGGAATAATGTCCAGGGTGGGAGAAAGAACTCTTGTCTGCTTGAGGCAAGTGTGAATGTTGCAGTTGTCCACCTTGGTTAGCATTTAATGGCCTTGCAAGAATCAACCACAATTTCCCAGAAGACATCACAGCCCTGTTTCACCATTGCCTCACCACAAACTACTGGTGGGACAATGAATTTTATGAACAGAAAGCTGGAGTAGCCATGGGCAGCCCTCATCCCATCCATAGCAAATTTATACATTGGAACACTTTGAAAAACAAGCCCTGGAACCACTACATGGTTCAGATACTCACTTGACTCATTTCCAGCAGACCCCTCAACCTTTGAGGTTGCCTGCCATAGATGTGGGTGAAATGTCAGGAGAGAATGCTTCTGTGACATGGCCATACAGCCTGGGAAACTCAAAACAACCCAGTGATTCTGGCCATGAAAGCCTTCGACAACACATTGAAGTTAGATTGTATTTGCATCTATTGCTAAACCAGGCTTTAGTGCCAAGATGCAAGAGGCCTCTATTTCCCTTCCCTCTCCCTATAAACTATAGATTTCACTCCACTCTACTTCTTTAAAAACTATAGGTTAATTAGAGCTTAATAGTACAGTTCTATGTTAAAGCATAGTTTCTAAGAATACGCTTGCTTCATAATTCATTCTTGAAACCTGGCTTTTTTCAGCAGACAGAAGATAACGCTAATAACAGTTGGTATGAGTTTTCTATCACAGCATACTATGGTATCCAAGCAGCAAGAGGGAGGGAGGAAGGGAACATAAGGGCCTGAGGGTTTCTGTCAGTCATGATCATAATGCAAGACCATGGTGTGCGAACGAGTCTGGCTTCTGTTTTCTTCCTATTGTGACTAACTTGGTTTCAGCAGATGCAGAGAGACTCTCTGTGATTTAGCTCAGATCAACATAACCAACTCATTGTCCAAGTCTCAGTGAAGGTTTTAAATGAGGACTGAGGTCATCTAAGTCCATATGTACTTTAATGTCAAGAGTTCTCTCTAAGAATGTATTCTTGTTTTCTCTTGTGATAGGATCTGCTTGGAAATAAAGATTACCCAACCCCCCCCCCCTTTTTTTTTAGTTTCAAATGCTAATGTGGAAAGGAGAGCATCTTAGAGACTATTAGCAGGTTAGAAGAGGTAATATGTCAAATGAACACGACATAAGGCTGGACTATTTGATCAGGGTAAATAGGAACGTAGGAGCTAGGATTATCAGTGTTTTGGCAACACCTTTATTTGTTGTGTATCTTCAAGTTGTTTCTAACCAAAATTTAACCCTATCATTCACAGGGTTTGCTTGGCAAGATTTGTTCAGAAGAGGTTTGCTATTGTCTTTCTCTATGGTTGGTAGAGTAACTTCCCAAAGTCACCCAGTGGGTTTCATGGTTGGGTGGAGATTCAAACCCTGGTCTCAATAGTCCAGTGCTCAAACCACTACACCAGTGTTTCCCAACCTTTGATCCTCCAGATGTTTTGGACTTCAGCTCCCCCAATCCCTAACAGTTGGTATGCTCAATGTATTGTCGAAGGCTTTCATGGCTGGAATCACTGGGTTGTTGTTGGTTTTTTCGGGCTCTATGGCCGTGTTCTAGAGGCATTCTCTCCTGACGTTTCACCTGCATCTATGGCAAGCATCCTCAGAGGTAGTGAGGTCTGTTGGAACTAGGAAAATGGATTTATATATCTGTGGAATGACCAGGGTGGGACAAAGAACTCTTGTCTGTTGGAGCTAGGTGTGAATGTTTCAACTGACCACCTTGATTAGCATTTGATGGCCTGGCAGTGCCTGGGGCAATCTTTTGTTGAGAGGTGATTAGATGTCCTGATTGTTTCCTCTCTGTTGTTTTGCTGTTCTAATTTTAGAGGTTTTTTTTAATACTGGTAGCCAGATTTTGTTCATTTTCATGGTTTCCTCCTTTCTGTTGAAATTGTCCACACACTTGTGGATTTCAATGGCTTCTCTGAGTAGTGTCACATGGTGGTTGTTAGAGTGGTCCACCATTTCTGTGTTCTCAAATAATATGCTGTGTCCAGGTTGCTTCATCAGTTGGTATGCTGGCTGGGATTTCTGGGAGCTGAAATCCAAAACACCTGGAGGACCAAAGGTTGGGAACCACTGCACTACACCATGCTGGTTCCCCAAAAGACATCAAACTATGCAAGATTTTCCAAATCCTTTCATCAGATATGGTGTTAAAAAACAGTCAGAAGAAAAAGCTAACCCAGGTAGTTTTGGAAAAGGTCTAATATAGCATACAGTGTAAATCTGCCCCAGGGGTCTTGTCTGTTAACCAGTTCTGCTGCCTGGGTACCCATTATGATAATTGATAATCTGATATCCCTTTTCCATAGACAATACTGTATGCCAGTGTAGATTGATATACTATTTTATATTAAGGGGCTGCAGTTAAAGGTGCCCTGGATAGTAGACCTTTGAGTCTTCTTTGTGGAGAGAAAAAGTGGGGTATAAATAATTCCCTGTAATATTGACATCTTCTCCATAG